TTGATCGTTTGAAAATTAATCAACCGACTGGTGGTCACGAGGAATTCCTATGGTTTATAGCGAAGGCGTTCCCATAATCCATTTCACGTTATTGTCACTAGAACAAGAAAGTTATATTAATCATTCTATTATATGTATTTTGTAAGTTGAAATAAGTTTTAAGCAGTTTATGTTGTATTTATTCTAATATGAGTTTTATACATTTAGTCATATTTCTTATATAATTTTAAAATCGAAAATAAATTAAATACTGTCTATAGTTTACGCGAGTTGTACACATTTAAATAAAACACTTGAACGGTTTAAAACGCGATATATTAGTTAAACTTATTTGAAAATGATTTTTAACTTTGTCTCCCAGTGACCACGGCTGCTGCAAAGCATCCGAAACGTCGGGCCAATTAAACAATTTTAAGTGTTCTATTTAAATATTTGCCTATAGATACAAAAGGCAATTCGTAAACACAAGAAAAATTATTTTTTTCTTTTACTATTAAATTGTAAATAACTTTTATTATTTTTTAAATTAATTTTATAATTGAATTACATGTGCAGGACTGGAATCTACGTCCGACAATTACTTATACAATCAATTGACTCATGTGCACAATTTACATGTGAGTCTGATTTTATAAATATCTAATCTTCATTCCTTCTAGCATTAAAATGACAGCCTAAATCAAGCCCATATTTTCAAATTACGTTATATAATGGTAAGTAAAAAATGTAAGTTTAATACTCTCATAAATTAATATGACCCCACAGAAACAGCTCTAAGAAGCTTTAAGATAAAACACGCTCGGTATTTCTGAATAAAGCCGGGAGTTAATGAGCTTATTTAATAGATTAAAGATGGCGGTAGTTGAATAAGTTAATTTTCAAATTTTATTACATAATACATTTGTATAAAATAACGATATTGTACCGTCAAGATTGCGCTTTATTTTACAAAGTTTATTCTTTTTTCTCGCAAAAAATTTATGAGTATCACGGACGAAACAAAATATCTACCGAGGTTGAAACAGGATTTCACTGTCCTAAAATTGGCTAAACTTTAAATCTTAATCCAATAATTCCAGAAATTATCAATTACTAAGACAGACCAAGTATTTAAAAAGTCAAAGTTAAAATCTTTCAGAACGTCCTTTTTCCTCTTCCTTATTTATTTAAACGATCTTTCTTTCCAAACTTAATATTCATAGATGTTTGGGCGTAAATAAAAATGTCGAAACTGCTTTGATGCTCGTAAACAATTTCCTTAGATCGGACACCCACTCTGGTTCTACGAAATTATATCTTTAAATAGACATCTTATTTGGTGGTTGCCAGATTTTCTATATATTAGATTAGTGTTTCTTAATGTGTGAGTAATGGATTATGACCATCTACCACCATCGAGGAATATTCTATTTTTAATTTAATTATTTTCGACCTCAGAACCGCCAATTTTATTGTACTAAATATAGATGGCGCCACTTATCAATTTTTAAAGTTTTGTGCTTTATATTGACTTATTAAAAAGCATCGAGTTTAACATTAAAAGATAAATAATAGGACTGTCTTACTAGACATTATTAATAAACAGCTTATTTAAGAAAATTAAAGAAAGGATTGAAATATACTCTAGATGCGACATCCAGAAGCACGCAAGCAACTGCTTGCTGCAAGTGTTCGGCCAAGTTACCTCTCATTTCATCAATACTATACTGTCTAGATAACTATATATATTTTAATTTAATTTATAATTTAATTTCAATTATCTTATTACATAATGTGCGTATATACTATATTTGTCAAAGTAAAACGTCAAAAGTCCAAAGATGTAGGGTCCACAAGAAAATGAGTGTTGCCTTGCTGAAGGCGGGCCCGTTTCGCCATTTGAATCCCACCTTGAATAGTTGCGTAATCTACGAACAATTTATTTATTTAAGATAAAATTGATGAAAGAAATTTTTGTGCCTACTTATATAATGTCCATGTTGTGTAAAGGTCCATGTCATTTATCAGTTAATAATCCTACTATGTGATTTATCTACAGATTTTTGAGGATATATAATGGTATAGGTACAGTAAAGACTGAAGATAATCTAACAAGACAGCCGAACAACTAATGACAGACGCCTGTAACCATGTTTTCCTTCACCACTGAATAACAATTATACAAGCTATAATATTGTGGTTTCAGCCGGACATCGAATTTTGGACTTTACTTTGTGAGATTCACATCTACTAGACGAACATGGCTGTCTTGCGTGGTTTCAAATATTAGAACGAGTTATTATCTCATACATCATTGCATTTAGTTTCGTATATCGTTTTCCTCCTTCCCCTACCCATTACGTATGTAGGCACATATATTACAGATTATATCAAGGTAAACACACTCTGTGGTGAAGATATACATACCTTTGTATATACATTATTGTATATACAGCTTATATATACTACTAACTATGTTGAAAGCTTGCACTAAAACCAATTTATGTTCGTATACTCCGACTTCCCATCTACGTATATAACTAGATTATAATTATTACAGCCTCCGTAGCGACCGCTTTTGTTTGCTAAATTAATTGTATCTTATGTTGACAATAATTGGTAGTTAATTATAATATGAAGATTTCGCATGGGAGGACAAATTGTATTTACAATTTTGTATATGCCAATGTTATGTACGATTTGAACAGTTTAAAAAATGTTACAAACGGTCAAATTGTACCTTTATGGCAGTATTTTTTATAGCCATGAGTTATAAAAGAGATTAGCTTTATATGCATAGATAAGGTCAGGTTGGTGTAAATGGGGTATTTGGTGTCCAGTCCACAATTATTTCAGAGCATTAGTTTAACTGATTGAGTAAGCAATCAATAGATGGCACTGCTATCCATCTATGTAAAAAGCATTATGGTCCCCGTGACTGATGTTCTCCTACTGTTCCTCTTAAATTGTATACCACAATGTAATAAAACAATAACTTCAGCCACAGCAATGCGTGGCCGGGTCTGCTAGTAATAATATATAATAAGATAATTTATGAAGCTGAAAAAGCTTAGTTTGCAAAAATAAATATGATGTCCAAAATAACACGCTGTCGAAGCCGCTGGCACAGCTACATAAAAGGGGAAATATTTTTATTAAAAATGTTTGTATTTGTAATTATGCTAGTAATAAACATTAAATAGGACACTTTTAAAGATTTAAAACACGAAATAATCAAAACATACAGAAGACGCGGTCAGGATTCGTAGTCTAAATCAGTTTGCCTTCAATGAATTCCGTTGCATTAAATCTAAAGGAGACATGTCTTTTAGCAGCGCAAGCACTCATTAGATCTTACAAAGACTTCATCTTGACTTCAAAGTAATTGCGGCGTAACCAGTTAGCTCAGGATTGCCCTACTTTTAGTTAAACTAAGTCGTTTTCAATGTTCATCTTCTTCGATAGAGTTTCGCTGACTCCAAGAGTGATTTTCCAATGACCTTTTTAACCACTGTAGGTCTTTTCGTCCTTTGATGATAAGGCGTACTATAGAATGTATATGATAAGGGTAAGCGTCCTTCGTGTCACGTTGCGTCGTTCGGTTTTCTGGGGTTTCAGGAAAAATATTAAAATGCGGTTTACGTCATTGGCCGGAAATGAAATTGATCAGTAATAAGGACGAAGTAATCTATCGTTTCTACCTATTAATCTCCTACTGCTGGACATACCTCTCGCATAGGAGAAGGTTAAGAAAATTGACCCACCACGCTGCTCCAGTGCAGGTTGGTGGGCTTCAATTACTACCGTCACTAAATTACTGGTGACAACCGGTAAGGACGGCCTAACTTTATTTTAATGATAGAGAAAGACAGACAAACATGGACGTCACTTGATGGGAGGTGTAGGAATACCCCAGCCATATAACATTTACACAGTTGTGCTGTCGACTTATTTTGGCTTTGGAATTTTTTTTTCGAAGTACCGGGATGGGACACCTGTATTACTAAAATTCGAAATACCAAAGTAACATTTTGTCTCACAAAGATTTGAATCCGGGAGATTTATAGCCAACAAAAGATACTATATAGGTTTTTGTTGAATTTAAGCTAATATTATAACGCCATAATTAACCTTCAACACCAACACTGTCTTCAAGACAATAAGGATAAGCTTTGGAATAATTTCCGACACTTTTACAGCCCTATAAAGTACAAGTTATCCTATCCGATGATGCAAGAATATAGATTAAATTCGAAGGTAACAAATTTTACGACCTACAATTACGATAACTCTCGCAATTAACTTGCTTTTATCAGGCACTTGTAAAGTTCAATTTTATTGGTTCTTTAATTTGTATTAGCTGAAACTTTCATTTATCTAATTTGTCAATATATAAACTAAAAAAAAAACACTTTAACGGTTTAAAACGCGATATAAAAAAAAAAAAAAAGGGGGGGCGCGCGCCCCCCCGGGGGGGGGGGGGGGGCCGGGGCGGGGGGGGGGGGGGAAAAAAAAAAAAAAAAAAAAAAAAAAACGGGGTTTAAAAAGGGGGGGGGGTTTTTTTTTTTGGGGGACCCCCCCCCCAAAAAAAAGAGGGGTAAAAAAAAAAAAAATGGGTTTTTTTTTTTTTTTTTTTTTTTGGGTGGGCCCCCCCCGGGGGGGGGGGGGGGGGGGGGGGGGGGGGGGGGGGAAAAGGAAAAAAAACCCCCCCCAAAAAAAAAATTTAAGGGGGGGGGGGGGGGGGGGTAATGGGGGGGGGGGAAAGGAAAAAAAAAAAAAATTTTTAAAGGGGGGGGGTTTTTTTGGGGGATTTTTTTGGAAAAAACCCACTTTGGTAAAAACCCCCCCCTTATACCCCAAGGTTGCAATTTTTTACGTTGACATGGCCCCGAAAATGTACATATGCAGTTATTTATAAAATACAGTATCGTTACATAAAAACTGTTTCAAATTTCTGAACAATTATATTTGGTATACTTGACAAATACTAAATACATAACCATGATTTTATATTGTTCCAGTGGTTAAAAGCAACATGCGCTATCAAACAACATCTCCACTAAGCCGCGTTGGGCCCACAGCGTCACAACGAGATGCGGAGCCGGACTTCGTTGGGCCTATCGAAAATGTTACCGTTGCTTTGGGCAGAGAGGCGGTACTTACTTGCTCCGTTTCAGATATAGGAGACTATAAGGTATGTTAGGCTTTATTACTATTGTTATTGAATGACTTGCTGTGGCTGCGACTTCGTCCGCGTAGAACATTTATTTAAAATAAATGTATCTTTTTAAAATATAAAATTCGTTTTAGTAAACCTGATTCTGTTACCCACAACGTCGTTCGCGTCCCTTCCTTCTTGCAAGCTTATCTCAAAAGCAAGTCTTATACTGTCGCTAATATTTTTTAAATAATTTAAAGCGGAATTCTTTGAACCAGTAATTCCTGAGACTAGCGCGTTCATCAATAATAATATTATAAATGCGAAAGTAACTCTGTCTGTCTGTCTGTCCGGCTTTAACTCCGAAACTACTGAACCGATTAAAATGAAATTTAGTACACAGAAATTCTAGAGCCTCATACAAAATTTTACATGTTCATGTTACTTTTGATTGGACTTCTTTTAAATAAATAAAACACTTGATAAAGTTATTATAAAGTACATTCATGTAACCTGATGATAAATAATGAATTACATCACAAAATAATCTTTATATACGATCTTTGTACTTTGTTAAGTAAAACTATTTTAACGATTTAAAACATGAAACATATTAGGCTCAGCAACTGCTGCTGCAAAGAATCAGAAACTTCGGGCCGCGGTTAGAATAAGTTGACTAAAATATTTCGCCTTTTAAACCGTGAAAAGTGTTTTAGTAGACCAATCTTTAGTATTTAAATAAAACACTGAAACGGGTTTAAAACGCGATATATTATTAAATTTATTTGAAAATGATTTTTAACATAAATCATTTTCATTTCAAATAAGTTTATTAAGTTTTTATTTAAATGTGTACTACTGGTAAATTATAGACATCCTTTAGTATTAATAACTCTCTTAAATATTCAAGAGGGAAGTACGTCACAACCTCCATTCAACTTACATTACTTTCCGGGAAAATTGAATCCGACGGCGCCGTTTCAATTCTAACTCGAAAGTCGAAACAAACTGGATTAGAAAAACTCCTATTACAAGTTTACACTCCCCCATTATTCCAAGAGCAAACTCGTTAAACTATTGAGTTTGACTACACCTACATTTTATCTTTTCGAGGTTATAAGACGCCCGAGATCCTCTTATAGTAGTTTGTCTTTCTTACAAATGCGTCGCGGAGACTTTATCAAGCTCTACTCTTAACTCAAGTAGCTCGTAAAACGTTCAACTTTAAGGTCACCGATTATATAGTTTTAAGCGGTTTATGCTTAATAACTTATGTTGGAAAACTTTTAAAGTATGTGCACGGTAACTGTAACGGAAATGTGAAATTTTAATTTACCCTCCGAGAGGAGTGATGTTAAATTAAACGCGCTCGACTTGTAACAACTTTATTGAATAAGTGGAGCGAGGACTAATATTTCTAAGTTCTAGTTACAGACGTGGAGTTGCATATGCAGTGTTATTAATGCGTATGTACTGAACAAAAGCAAAGTTTAAAATTATTTTCTAAGATTGCTTCGCCTACGTTTCATAAATGGTACAATTAATTTTATAATAGAGGAGAACAAAGACGCGTGGGATACATTTCAGGGCTTTTTCATCTGTGGACGGTGGTGGTGACCCAGACGCAATTTTGATATTCCTACCACCAATTTAATTTCCAGACGACATTCATGTTTCAAAAAAATTATAAATTGATTAGAATCCCTCGGACCTTGATATGTGCAAATACATTTACAAACACACAAAATATACACTTGACTGTAGTTTACGTAAATGGTGAACATCATACAAAACACTTTTAACAATTAAAATCGCAAAATATGTTACCGGGCGTGGTCACGGGAAGAATGTAATAACTAACTAATATATTTCACATTTTAAGCCGTTGTACTACTTTATTGAATACCGTATTGATATTCCAATCCAGAATAATTTATTTTATTTTGAAAAAGCAACACACCGCGGTGTAATATTAATTTAATTGTGTGCATATAAACATATTGATGAATGGAATGCGGAATAAATTATGACGGTAATAAATTGCATCATATCGAAGCTTTACGAATGATTAAGATTTTTTTTATTATTTGTTGCGAAGTTCAAAAGAGCTGTTACGTAAATAAATGAGAGCGTCTCGCGAAATAGATGCAGCGGGATTTGCCGAGATTTACGAAACTCGGCGAGTTCGACAGTATTCGGGAAGAAAATAAAATTAATGATCTTTCAATACAAAACTTCCGCGAACACTTTATCGTACGATTCACTCTTCATGTGTTTTTGCCCGGAGCCATCGGTAACCGTCGTTTATAGAGGCTCCATTTACTGTCCCCGCCATGACAAACGAGCTGCCCCTCTTTAAGAAACGATCGATCACCTTAATGATATTTAAGTACTGTTCCAATGATCCCGATGACTTGCAAATAATGCTATAATCTTATCGTCCGAACTCCGCGCTCGATATAAACATATATTGTAACGTAAGTATTAACGTTGTTTGTAATTTAGCTTTTTCTCGTGTACGGAAAGGATTTTTCACAATACAAAGCTAAAAAGAACAGGGTGGATGTGATCTGTCAAAGTAGGATTAAGGAAGATGACAAGCAGTAGCGATTTCTTTTAGGATATTGTATTTTTCCTATGAGAAATGGGGGTGAATGTTTTTGCGTCGCTCGTTCGTGTTGCTACACTTCCTCGTGGATCTTGTTGCTTTTTAATCTCAATAATTTAGCTGACGTCTCGTTCTAATATATCTCCCATTTTACTTCTTATTCAGAACGCCGCTTTTATTACGGCGGATAGATAAAAAATTCATGAAAGGTGAGCATTAGTACGACCATTATTTGAACTTCATCAAAAATGTGTGCGCTGTGCGAAAATATAGGAAAATTGTAGAAATATTATTGAAACACTATGAAGTAGGCTTATATAGTATATTAAGGTACCAATTCGGGAATATTGTATATTAAGGTAGAAAGTAGTACGGGATATTGGTTATAGATTATTACATACGTAATACGTGATTTGCTCCACAGATTATAACGGAATGAAATACGTCTTATAACGGTTTAATTTAACTGTCTTATATCGCATTTTAAACGAGTATATACGGCTAACGGAGTTTACACGTTAATGCACACATCTTAACTAAGAAATGTAATTATAGGGAATACCTTATAAAGGAAAGATTCAATGATCTTATAAACATTATAACATTGTTTTCATTTATTTCAAAAACATAATTATATTAAAAATAAGTCTAAAGACAGTATTACGCTCGTAGTATTTTCTACTATCGTATGCTTTAAATTACCTTTGTTAGTATTTAAAATAATTTAAAAAAATATTACTTCGCCTACCTTAGGTTATGAGTTAATTTTCAAACGATTCTCCTACTATGTTTTAGTAATTTCAGTCTGTATTGCTTGCATGTAGGACTAAAACAATGCCTACAACCATTACCTTTCAGGCAAATGAAAAGTATTATATTAATCTCCTTAAAACAGTCCCCAGTCATATACGTATTTACAGCCTTATTCCGGCGCGACCTTCTCAAACATAATGCGAACTTATTGGACCTTTTAGCTCTGATCCAATATTTCAGAGGATTTATTACTTTATTAACTTTCTGAGTAACATGAATTATGTTAGGGCTTCGAAAAACTTTTCAGCCATTATTATGCCACCTTTATGGAATTACGGGTTTTATTATAGATTTATTTCAGTTTCCTGATAAAATTAAAATAATAATAATAGATTTAGAATAAAAAGAATAGGAATAGGTAAAAGAAACGTACTATAGGAATAAGGAATATAACATATAATATATATTTCAATCAAATACACTTATATCCTCCTTAGTCTCTGATAAGAAAGCCACTCAGCTATGTTGGGGCTGATGTCCCAACGTACTAATACTGATGATATACTGGGACCCCGTTGTAAATATTTTCTATTAAATAACCATTTAACGGAATTACACTTATACTTTGAAATTTAATAGAATATTTGTACAAATTTGAAATTAACATTATATAATAGCGCAATTCATGGCACAAGACCATTAACACAGCTGAGATTCAAACCCCTATATCCAAATTTCGCTTGTCATTTTGTATATGAACACGTACAGACAGAGATAACGTACTGGCAGTTCGTCGTGGGTTTGTCTACCGTCTGAATTATTATGTTTTTCAATGTATCATACTATTTAATGTTTAAATTGATTTTGTTAAAAGTGTACTACTCAAAACTGTACAGAACAATACTATTTAATAGTTCATTGATTTTGTCAAAACTGTCAGAACAATACATAATAGTTAGATTTAATAAAAACAAGTACCTAAGAATGAAATTAATAATTAATTTCTTATTGTTCAACATTTACGAATCGCCATACAAATAGAACAAGAGAAATTCTTTTGTTACATCAAAGGGACGATTAATTCATTCTCATACAAACAGGAAAGTCTTTTGACAAATAAACTCAAACGTCACGCTTAAAACAGCATTAATTGTACCTTCCTTAAGGTAGGGTATTTTAAAACATTTGTATTGGTCTTTTGTTTTCTAATTTCCCTTTTAAAAAACATTAAATCTTGCTTCATTTAATAATTATCATTATATGTAGGAGACCACTCTTTTTGTTTGTCAGACCATTGATCATTTTTTAAATCTAAGGAGTGTTAGTTGAATTCATAACAATTTGATTTATGTCGTATCTATTGTATTGTTTGTATATTTTAGTCAATAAAATAAAAGAAATGAAATATAATACTATATAATAGGTGTTAAGAAGAATCATAAAAGATAAAGATTTTTAGTCCTTCGAGCCGGATTTGTACTAGCGAAACCTAATACGTGTTGAATATTCTGCTAGAAGCTTCTTGAACATGAAAGGAGCAGTTGTTTGCTATTGAATGTTTGCTAAACTTTTACTAAGACGCCACTGCTACTGGTGTACGTCTTTCTGGGGCTAAAGTAAATACTAGATTTATTTCTGGAAACTTTCCTTTTCGCAAGCCCTGTCGCTCACGAACCCGAACGGTTATGAAACATTGCTCAATATTTAAGTATAGCATGTTTAATAAAACCTATTCATTTACCTAGCTTAAACATTAAGGTAGATGAGATATGGAAGTTAATAAGACTTTTGTAGGTGTTTTTAGACCGTTTACGTATTGCATTGATGTCGAATTCATTCGAAACTCAAATATTTTATAACTACACAAATTTTCTTTCGACAGAGCGCATCAGTCGTCCAACCGTTAAATTAATTTGCACAATATCGTCAGCTCTACATCTGGCACTTTTTCTTCTCTTTCTCAGTCTCATTACCTTTCTACAGCACGAGTATTCGAGAAACTGACTTAACAAACAAAGTCGAATATAAAAAGGTACTTCAATTAATCTCTCCAAATAGAATACAATTATAATGAATGTTGAAGATTAGTGATTTATTTCTGCTATAATAAACTGTACAGATTCACGAATTAAAAACGTGATGTTTTTAATCAAGCTGCCTGCATTATGTTAAAATATATTTTAACCCGCCGTTCATGCTTCTTATAAAAACTACTAGCACTCAAGTGTGCAGGTAAATTTAAAAATGTTCCATGTTTATTTCTCGAGTCATCGCTCAAAAAGGTTAAATTTTTTCAAATAAATCTTTAAAAGCGCTTGGCTCGTTCAAAAATTGCCGCGAGCCTTTCCGATTCTATTTTGAGTTTTTTCTATAGGCGTTAAAAAGGAAAGTAATAATTATTTTCTGAACTATTTTACTTTAAAATCCATTTGAACAGCGAAAGGTCGATTCACTGACATTAAAAATGGAAATGGTTAGAATCCTTTTTCGACATTAGTATTAGCCCATGATCGCTCCCGCTTAGTGCTTCAACACATTAACTACTAAGCGCGAAAGATCGTGAGTTCGAATCTAACGGATACTACATAAATATAATATGTTTCACCATCATAAGACGACGACATATATAGTGTTTTATTTAAATGGGCCGTATTCGCGTAAACTACACATACTATTTAGGGGGAAACCAACGAGATTTGAATGACTCCATTCACCTATTTTAAGGCCATCGGTGTATTTTTTTTTATTTAGCATTAACGGTAACTCATAAATTCCCTGGTACGCACACAGATTGTATGTAGGGTACGTTATTTAATTATTATTATTCTTTCTACAGGTGGCGTGGATAAGAGCTGATGATCAGACGATACTGACTCTCCACACACGTTTGGTGACGCACAGCTCTCGCTACGCTGTCACCAATGACTCCCCGAGTTCGTGGCAGTTGCACATTCGTCCTTTGAAGATCGAGGACCGGGGTTGCTATATGTGCCAGATCAATACCAGCACTATGAAGAAGCAAATCGGTTGTGTCGATGTTTTAGGTAAGTATTCGTTAAAAACTATCTGTGCGTAAGATATCCTTATCTTCATCCCAACCTGAAAAACACGTGGCTGAGGTATAGCCATGTTTTTTTAATGGTAGAGGTGCACAGATAAGCAATGACTTCACTTGATTGATGAGAGGTGAAATACCCCAGCTATATAATATCTACATAAGATGAGCTTTTAAATAAAACACTTTAACGTTTTAAAACGCGATATATTAGTTAAACTTATTTGAAAATTATTTTTAACTTCGGCCCGACGTTTCGGATGCTTTGCAGCAGCCGTGACCACGGCTGCTGCAAAGCATCCGATACTAATATACCGCGTACCGTATACGATAACTAATATATCGCGTTTTAAACCGTTAAAGTGTTTTATTTAAATGTGTACTACTCGCGTAAACTATAGACAGTATATAAGATGAGCTGTCGATGTATTTTGGCTTTGAATATGTAAAATCTAAATAAATGGATTCTTATCTGAATGATAGAAATACATACGGTTTGAATTCCAACAAAACTTTTGATATCCAGATTCTCCAGACGTCCAACATCTTTTAAGGAAATCGAACTCCTGACCTCAAGTTCATAAGTCCGGTGCTCACACCACTAGATGCATACTGTGCGGTCAAAGTGTTAACTACAACATTATTTATAAGTTTGTTTTCTTCAAACCAATTGGGACAAATTTTTATAATAATACAAGTAGCGGAATAAAAATAAGTTCGACATTATTATTCAATGTTATGCCTAAAAGCTCGGAAAATATTGTCCAAACAATACTTTTCGAGTAACAAATAGTCTACTGTAAATACAGTAATACTTTATTCGGATAACAAGCAGACAATGACTCGACAAGCTCCAAATGCTACGAAAATGTTTACTCCAAAACTTTTGGGGCTATGTCAGGGTCGCTAGCAACTGTCAAAGCGAATTTCTCATATATTTTATACCTTACGATATCCATTATACTTAAGACTTTTGGCTATGCTAACTCGTGAATGACTGCTAAAAATATATTGATTTACACAACTTCGTACGCATGTCTTAGTTTTAGTAATGATCAAGAATTAACGACATTATAATTATGCACCACAGTTACATTATGCTATTGAAACTGAAATATTTTAACACCCTCGGAGTAATTAAAAATGAGTGTGATAAAACTGTTATGCCATCAAAATTAATAGGTATTCGGTAGTCTTACGCTGGTGACATAGTCGTTTCCAACGATCGAAGTGGGTTTAACCTACATTCGATCACGAATTAATTTTGCCTGAATATTGCCTCTGAATATATCTGCACTTTGCTACAGGAACGAGTCAATTTCATAGGAATAACCCACAAAATATATTGTACTACCCCGATTGAAGCTTGACACAGATCATATTACTAAAATAACACAAAATTACCGTTAAATAACTTATAATTATAAGATTCATTATTTTTATTTACCTATATTTGTTTTTGAAATATTAAATCTATATTAATAGCACTTTCTTATCATTTCTTTATTCTATGTATTGCTTGGCGCTATGTTTAACGGTTCGAATCTTGCCAAAACGTAAAATGCAGTCTGACACGACATAATCATTTGATTTTGTACTTGCTTGTAAATAAAATGGATCAGTAAAACAAACATAGAACTGTGTCTTCCCAACGTCTAGGAAATTAGATTTTACACAAGGACACGCATTTTTGAATTCAATTTTATGTGTAAATCATATTATATCAATCATATTATTTTTATGTTTTGTACCACGTTTGCGCACCGAATAAATAAAAAAAAACTAATCAAAAGTTTACTTATTAAAATAAAAATAATATTTTTAAAACTCTTTGATGCTTTCGTGATATGAATAATGTAGTACACAATTAGGGTTCGCACATAAAATCACTGGTACCACAAGCAATTAGATTAGAATCAGCCATTTGCAGCTAATAAGCAAGTAAGTACGTTTTACACCGAACCGCGTCGTGGACGATTTGTTCGGGCTCCCGTGATTTACTGTGATTACGTTTTGTCCGTGAGCTTTCCACTAGATACTAGAGATGGGCGTACTACGTACATCGTAGTCGTATACCCGGACCTAGTAACGATAATACTAGTTACAAAATACTCAATACTGTTCCGGTCTATGTATTATATATTTGTCGTTAGCGATTGAAAAAATAAGAAACAGATCTGGAAATAAATGCAAACAAAAGGCTCGTTCAAAAATTGCCATTTCATGTTTTATGACAGTTTTATAGAAATGTGACTTTGAGTTAGAACAGACTTTGTGTTAATAAGAGACAAAATACTCACAGCTGCAAAATTTGACCAATCAATCGGTGGATTCACCAGGTACAAACTTGTAACGGTCATGTCAAGTGACATCAACAATGTAAGAAGTCTAAAAGTCAACCAAATCAACTAGCAATCCATCTCATCCTTGTTTAAACAAGGTTGTTAGATCTAGATAGATAGAATAGTAGTATTTATTAAGAATTTTTACTGCATATTTCGGTGCGATAGTGAATTAAAATTTTATTAATATTATATTATATCTAATACTATCACCTAGTACTAGTGAAATACCTATTACCCATACCTATTACAGTATTTGCGACCCACCTCTACTGAATAGGCAAAAGATCTAGAATCACGTGGCGGTAAACAAATTATACTGATTGGAAATTGTACTACGGAAATTCCACGGAGAAACATTCCTACATCTTCCAATAGATGATAAAATCAGACGGCTTTCTAAGTAATTGAAACAAAATTTATGGTAACCTCCAAAAAATATAACAGAAATATTGTTGTTATTGATTTGGACTAAAAAAATGCTAACTAAAAATAATGCAATAAAATATTAGACACGTTTGAACGTTCGTAATTAATACAATTAACTAATAATTTGACGTAATATCCGCCATAAAAAATTATACATATAAGTATTGATGTTTCACTCCTACATAATTCTCTTCGTAATTTCTTTTATGGACGCGTGTGAAACGTAACGAGTGGAATGACTGGGAATAGTTAGATTATTTTTCTAAATTGTCATATATATGTAGGTAAAATAATATAGCATTTAAATAATCATATTCAAATTAATTAGGCTACATCAATTATAGTTAGATTGTGACCTGAAAACTGATACTGTACTACCTTAAGTCATCGCGAAGTACAATTTAGAAATAACTCTGTGTATGTACTCCTGTTTGTTTCAAACTTTCATTTACTAAATTTATTTTTAGACCTTTTTATAAACAAAAAGAGAGTTAATGCCATGTTTTCAATTTTTCAAAATTCTATTACTATTTGTAATTAAGTTACTATTTCCATGTCGGTACTATTGATTACATGAAAATTTTAAGAACCACTGTACAAAGTAAACTCAACAAAGTATAACTTTCTGTGTCGTACAAGAAATCACGAAAGGCATTGAAATTCCTATTCAAATAATGAAAAAGGCTTTATCAGGAGTAAAGTTTTCATTTGAGCGCATAATTTAATCTGAACCTTTACTGTGTTCAGGCTTCAGCTGAGTGCTACACTCTGCTGTTTCATTGATGAATAAATTGCTTCCTATTATTTTTCATTTAAATATTCAGTTTTCAGTGTTCACAGCGCGGTATAACCTAATCGTGTTTTAAAATTAAATATTATATGTAAAAAATCTATTTTATTTATTAATACTTGTGCAAGTGTCTAGATAACATAAATATTTAGTATATTTAACTATTGTATCATAAACTGGAATTTTAAGAGGACAAACTAGCACAGAGAGATCTAGATGGAAGGTCCAATGCCTCGACCCTACAACTTGTAATTAAGATGTACTGTCAACCTCTTTTAGCTTTGGACATTTGGAAAACTGTAGACTGAAACCGAAACACGATTATATATCCCGGCTTCTCTGTGGACTTTTGTTTGTCCGTACATAGTTTCGAAATTCGTACCTTTTTATTACTACTATACTAATCGATCAAAATATAGGTCAGTACGTCATTGTGTTTTTAACTAACGGATGAAATTGTATTATCGCGAAAATATATTTGCCCCCGAATAGCAATCCTATGATAAATTATAATTTACTGCGCCAACGTCGCCTCTCATTGTTTTTTATAATCCACCGTTCGGAATAACGAAAAGCAACCAAAGTATTCAGCCGTGAAATACGAGGGCATTCGACTAGCTTCGTTGAGATTTATTATCTCGTAATATCGTATAGATTGAATTTGTCGATATTTAGAGATTTACGAGCAGGTGCCTAAGTAGCTTACCTTCGTGCAAACACAACGATGTTTTCTTCGTTTGAAATCGAGGGAATCGAAATTTGAAAAGTTAAAATAAAATGTGTCTATACAGTTATTAAACTCACAAGTTTACTTGATTTTTAGATTGCTATAAAATGATTTTAATGGTTTAAAACGCGTAATGTAATAACTGCAAAGCGTCCCGACCGTGTATTAGATAAAATAAATTGTAAATAAGTTTTTCACCTTTCGCGTTATACCGTTCATGTGTTTATATGAATGTATGCCCCTGGCGAGAACGACAGGCACTACTTTCTTATATTTCTGTATACAGACAATAGCTTAAGAGTTCTTTGATATACTCGACCGATACTATTTTCATATTATTTCCACCTGGCAACATTTTCAAGACATCAAGCGTAGAAGTTTAAATATGCAATATATAGATAGTATAATGTATAGTACAGTTGCATGTTATCATATACTGTGCTACAACTGCGACTTCGTCCGCGTGGAAAAGTTATTTTAGGCATCAGAATTTATTTTTGCATAGAACCTCCTCAGTTATATAACCGCACGACCGCGTCCCGTCGTTCTTGCAAGATAGAAAGATACTATCACTAACATTTTTAGACCATTTAAGGAGAAATCTTTCAATCATATATGTTTGGCTTTTTTGACGATGTTTTCACACTTTTTCCTGGCTCCTATTGGTCGCAGTATCTTTATATTATATAGCGTAAAAAGCCTTTCTAAGTAAATTATTAAAATTAACACAAAAATAATTTTACAATTCGATCCAATACTTTCTGAGACTAGTGCGTTTAAACAAACGGACAAACAATACTAAATAAATAATATAAACAGGTTTATAATATTATTATATATATAATGATACAGGTTCCTTGTTATTTTCGTAATTAAATACTGTAATATAATATACCCATACAATTTTCTATAAAAAAAATTCCTTCTAATAAATTACTTGTAACCTTTTTGGTACTGACTTTAATCTTATCATTGGGCGGAAAAAAGTGGAAACGATGATAATTGTTGTAGTTAGCCAGACAAACTTAGCTCATTATTACGAAAGTTATTCATCTGTTAACTCGGCCCGCGAACATTAAGTAAAAGTCTATGTGATTATCTCGTTAAGCTTATTATAAATTACTTTTTGTATACGTCAACTTGTCCCTTTCAAGTTTGAGACGAAAAAAGGACAGCGTGGCAAAAAGCTTTGAAACTTTTAGGTAAAATGGGAAATGAAGAATTAATTTTCATTTCAGATATCTTTGAGCGTTTTTGTGTGTTAATGAGATAGAATTTATTAAATTATGCATTATTTTTGGCACTTTGCATTTTTTTAGTCTTTGCACTTTAATAGTCGTGTTGGTGTTGTGGTTAGAAAAGACTTTGTTAATTCTGGTGTGTGCTCTTTGGTCAAATGTAGTAAGCTACTAGCTTACTACATTTGACCAAAGAGCAAAACTTTTTCTTAATAAAATATCACGGGGAGTCTCCCCGTGACCACGGCTGCTGCAAAGCATCCGAAACGTCCGGCCGAAGTTAAAAATGATTTTCAATTAAGTTTAACTAATATATCGCGTTTTAAACCGTTAAAGTGTTTTATTTATAGTGGCTTTTTAAATTACATTTAATCAAACTTCATGTGAAATACTAATGTGAATACAAAATTCGAAAGAAAAACATTGCGCCAGACGAAGTTTATTGAGAATGAAAAAGTTAAGTTCACTCGATAAAACATGAATTTCTATAAACGCTTAGAAATGTGACGACAGTAAAGCCCTAAAAGCTATAACTGAGCTTTTCTCGCAAATTGATTTTAATAAAAGCTTGAGAGGAAAATCTTACATATCACAATTCATAGTTAAGTAGGCAATTTAATACTTATAAGTAACAAACTTACAACCATAGGTATCTTTATACAAATATTAAAGATATATAAATTCGTAGGATGATAGGTTTTCTGACAGCCAATTTTGATGAGAATATGCAACAATATTTTGTATATTCTCGTCAAAATTGTAGTATTACGATAAAATCAACTACTTGCCTGTTGAAAAGAAGGGATCAGTGGAACGGACACAGAAATGTGTTCGCCCCACTCTCCACGAGGGGGTAAACGGGATTTCACATCTGATTTAAATTAAATTAATTTAGTATCTTACTCTTTCAATTAAGACAGCAAACTTTAAGCATTGTATGTAAGTTATGTATTGTGTTGTAAGTTATAAGGATATTATAGTAAAATAAATAAAGCTTTTATTTAGTGTTGCCCAAACGCAAGAACAAGACGAGACTTAGCCAGTCTTGGTCTTGGTCTTGCGCCAATACACCTGGTCTTGGTCTTGCGCTCCCAGTCTTGGTCTTGGTCTTGGTCTTGCAGCAAGAGTCTTGCAAGTCTTGCAATTACCTATTAGTCTATTACTATTTATTAAAGTTTACTTTAAATCCTAGAAAAACGTATTAGAATTGGAACATTGTGAGCTTGAATGAATATAGCCATAGTAAAGATCAAGAAGATTAATAAATAACTGAAGATTTGAGAAGAAATTCGAAAAATCAACTGTCCTATATGTCGTTTTCCATGGAAGTAACTGTTTCTTAATAAACATTTATGATTTATAAGCTTACATTCGCTAAAACTCAAACTCTCGTTACTCGGACTAGAATAATTTGAATTTTCGTCACTCATATTAAATTGTACACGTGATACGTTTTTAGAAAACAACGAGAATTAGTAAAAACAATTATTAAGTTAGACTCGAAGCACAGCTCAATTGGAAATGACTGGAATTAAAATAATTCCTTTGTTTATAGTACGTTTCCTTGCTTTCTACCGCGCCGCCTCGCCACGTGCCGGCTCTATGATAAGGATGCCGCCGCAAATCAAACAATAATATAAAGCGTGTAAAAAAATTCGAAATTATTTTGCATGAGTATACCTACGCCCTATGGCGGCAATCAAATAGTGCCAAATGTTATGATTTCGGCGTGGCGGCAACGATTGTTTTAGATTTCAAAAGAAGCCGCCGGCGCGTGTATCATAACCATGTACTTCCGAAAAGCGGCAAATTTCTTTGAGAAGTAAGTACAAAACCTTTGATGCCGCATTATCAAAGTGCCAATGGGTAAAACATAACTATGCATGCACTCAGTTTGATTTTAATAATTTTTTATTCGCTATGTTTATGGTATTAGTCGTAATGCGCATAGGTCCAGTTTTTTATATTCTTTGATACAGTTTTTTGCGTCTCATAGAATTCCTAAGCGTACCTACCTATACACCGAACTGTTACACCTAACTACTCAGTGAAATAGCGCTAAGTCCTAGCTGCAAGACGCAAGAGTCTTGCAGGCTATGTCTTGTTCTTGCTCAAGTCTTGCACGGTCAGTCTTGGTCTTGGTCTTGCTAAAAATACGCGGTCTTGTTCTTGGTCTTGGTCTTGCAAAAACGCAAGAACAAGACCAAGACTGAATTTGGGCAACACTACTTTTATTTAATACTTTTAGTTAGTATCACAAGATTAAACTGCTCATCGTTCCAGTTCCACCGAACATCGTGGATGAAGGAACAAGTGGCGACATGGTTGCACGAGAAGGTACAGACGTCAGTCTTTCTTGCAAGGCTGAAGGTAGACCACTTCCTCGGATTCTGTGGAGGAGAGAAGACGGTTCAAATATATTGCAGAGAAATGAAGCTGGAGAGCTACATAAAGGTAGGTCAAATAAAGAGAACTATAAATTAAATATAAATGATACAACATACGTCAGACACACTTTTGTGTCTGTTTGGCTAATATTTTTTTAAGACAATTAATTATTCAGCTTTGTGTCTACTGTAGTCAAAACTATTCAACTAAAATAATATATAGACCTTACTATACTTACGCTGATCCTTTTCAAGAAGTGATTAACGGTATTTAAAAAACATGTTCTAAACTAGTATACAACAATACTCATACTCATTTGAAGTCTCAATAAACTCATATAATTATAAAAGCTCTTAGTCTGAAAGCAAAACAATTATCGTCGGTTCCCCTATAATTGCCTTTCAGAGTTGATTTACGAACATAATTGATATTACCTTCGTAAGAATTCAATAAGTTTTCAAACATTTCTAGCATAATCTGTAATCAGTTATTAAAATTATCTTTTAATTAATTAGCAAGAATAATAATACTATTGAACATACAATTTTGGATACGATAGAATGAGATAAGATTGAATGAGATTTTTATTTGTTTTGAATTTATTTTTCGGTTACAAATGAATATCAACAAAGTAAGATAAAACTATAGAGATTAATAGTATACCATTTGATTAATTCATGGACTGTCTGTCGTTTACGCGTACTAACATTGAAATAAAACACTTTTAACTGTTTAAAACGCGACATATATTTTTTTTGTTAACTTATTTACAGTTTCCTCTAAGTGACGAAACTATAAGAACTATTCTTCAATTACGACAGCCAAACAGTAAAAATAACAATATTTACATATTTAATTAAGTATAATTAATTGCTCTTTTGTTTTTAAAGTAGAATGTGAAAGTGTAAAGAAAAAGATTCGCTCTAACCCAAACTCCAAGAAAGTGTTTCTTTAGTCTTTCATTAAATATTTGATGAATCTTAAGATTTTAATTAATACTAGTCGAGAGCATCTTGTTGAAACTTTAAAATGTAATTAGAATGTTCATATTTGTAAATGGTTTAAGAGGGATTCGTATTAAATTAAAGTAAAGAATGGCAATTAATAAAATCTAAAAATGATAATAAAAAAATTCTTAATTCTAACAAAGATTTCATTACAAGCTACAGTATAATTTGTAATTTTTCCGATATTATGCTTCACTAAGGTATAATTGCATTACTTGTAAAATTATTTCGTTCTTCAAAGTCTATTAAATATAGATAAGCGAGATAACGATATGGATTAAAAGTACTGCTTTGATTGTTTTCGGACCTACCAACAGAAGAGATTTTTATATAAAGTTGACTTAAACACTCATCTATTTTATTAAATAAAATAATTGTATATTATCAATAGATACAAATACACATAAGTAAATTTTATTTGAGACCTAAAAATCTAAGAAATTATGACACCTTTATAATTTAAAGGCGACTTATATTGGTTAAACTTATTTACAATGTATTTTACCTCCAGGATATTCGGTCTTAATAGTTGTCTTAATATGTACATATACTTCGCGTTTAAAATCGTTAAAAGTGTTTTAAATTTGTACTACCCGCGTAACTGGCAAACAATACATAATAATGACAATGTTTGAATATTCCCTTACATCTAACGATATATTCTAATTAAGATTGTCTCTTAGTGAAATTGTTTGAATTTCTTAAATTCTATTGTTGTGTAATTGTTTTCGTTCTGTGGCAGTTGATATGTACACGGGGCCGTCCTTGAACCTCACAAAGGTGGATCGCAAACAAATGGGTGCGTACTTGTGTATAGCCTCCAACGACGTGCCACCTTCCGTCAGCAAGAGAATCATGCTCAGCGTTAATTGTGAGTATTAAAAAATATTTTCCGTATATCTAACAGTGAATAGAGATTGCGCCTTATTTTATGTTGTTCTTTGGTTTTGTTGTTTAAACGCGTTAATCTCAAGTACTGCTGATTTGAATAGAAAAATATTCCTTATTTATTAAAATTTTATGTTCGTTACAGCATTTATCGGGTAAGGCTTTAAGCTATATAACAGCATGCTAAAACCAAAGGACTAAAAGTATGATTTAAAAAATATTCATGACGACAGTATAGCTGTTTGAAGATTAAATCCCAATAACGAATTATTTTTTAGAGTTATATCAACATAACTATTATATTTAATCGTACAAACAACAAAAGCAACTTTTGCTGGATCAGCTAGTAAATTAAATAATAATAATTTAGGCAGACTAAAGTTCAGGTTCTTAAGGCAAGTTGAGAAGGGAAGGGTTAGCTAGTGGTGGGCAAGATTTAGGACGTTAAAAAAACTATTATCCAATTAAATCAAATCTAGCCGAAATGCACAAAATAGCGCAACCAAATAAAACTAAATTAAATTTGTTGTTCCTTGTTTTCTTATTTTTATATAGTTTTTTTTTCTTTTCATCATGTGAATACACATTTTAGTATAAGTTATTTCTAATCGCCTACAATTATTGTGATGTTACATTTTTTATCTTTTGTATATTTTTCCGATAATCACTTCCTGCCTTACACTATCTGCCTGCAATTTATTGTATATTATATAGTCGCAATTCAATCATAATTTGATCGTTACATCCCGACCACAATAGCTATTAAACATAATGGTCAGGTATAGACATCAATTATTAAAATAATGCTTACGTAAATGGCCGCTGAAATGGGGTAATAATTTTCTGTCCAATTTTCCCTTATACACAAGGGACCTACGTTAAATAACCATGCATATGGGATAGAAAGTCCATACATATAACTATTTGTTCTTATCGCTGTTCGATGTATGACCGCACAGTTGTCACAGATCATATAAACGATAGTAGTATTTCTCGGCAAAATTTTATACAAGTTTTGCGTAATATTTCCAAACCAAATTGATTCAAATAGTTTTGTTTTGTATTGTATTGTACCTTCATGCTATAACTAAGCAAGTTAAATTTTAAATTATCTAAGTATTACGATAAATTAAAGAAGAATTCTTCTTATTTTTTGTTACTTAAAACATTTTCACAGCATACGCATCGGAAACCCACAATGATGAATAATTTTCTCTGTTTTTTGCTCTTTCCTCCTATTAGTCACAGATTGATGACTCACAGTCTAAAGCCTGACTTTTGATCATTACAAAAATAACTTTTGAATTCGATTCAGTAGTTCTTAAGATTGGCGCATCCAAACAAACGAACAAAATGGCTAGACTGATTTCTTGTAACAGATCCGTAATAAATCACAATAATATATCGTTTTACACTTGTCATGTTTTTTTTCTAAATTCCATCGAACCTTCCTTACATCGAAGAATAATATTATTGTTTTTCGTTTCGTATGACCCGTTTCCAAGAATTTACGATGACTGTTATGCCCGTGAAAGCTGTCCTAAACGGTTGATAAATACATGAAAACAATATTTAATAAATAGGGCTTTTACACCTTCAGGTTTTCACAGGGTTTTCTCTTTTTATGTTTTATTTCGATTTACTTTATATCTCTTTGTAAAGACATGTGTATTGTTATTTTCATATTCATTGTTATTTTTCCTTTTCCACAGTCAGTCCATCAATATCAACGCTAACAAAGGTGATAGGAGTTCCTACGGGGTCGCAAGCAACCTTGGAATGTAATGTTGAAGCGTATCCACATGCCATCAACTTTTGGCTGAAGAGTGGTGAGAAGACAATGATTCTGTCAAGGTAAGTGAATAATATTTCAAGGTATAGTTTTTTTGGCATAAACGATTTCAACACAATTAACTGAATAGGGAAAGTCGAAATAAAAAAGCCAAGTTGTAAAACTTTTTCTTGGTAACCGTTCACATTTTTTTCTTTTCAATAGAAGTTGTCAACGGTTTTATATTTCTTAGTAGCCGTCTGTTCATCAAATCCGAACAACTTGCGCGATTACCTCGTTACGTAACTGAGCATTGCAAAACCGCGAGACGTTTTCGCCGTTTCAAGTCCCGGTATAGTCAAATTCTTGCCTGTTATGTGCGGCGGATGCATCATTGTTTATGTTTTAATGGACTAGTTATCATAAGGACTCATTGTATAATGTTTTCGTAAGTACAACAAATAAATGGCGTAACTGAACTTAAAATGTTTAAAACGGAAACGGACGCAAACATGAGGTGTAGCAAAAACCCTTGTTACAAATTCGAACGGAACCATTTGACCGACCGACCATTAAGAATGTGCGATGGCGTTACATGTCGGGTTTTATTTTTACACTCTGGAAACTTGTCGGAGCTGAATTTTCCAGCACTTTACTCTGAAATACAAGTGGAGATTGACAGCCGTTCCAAACGCCATTTGCTGAACGTACTCTAAATCTACAATCAGAACTAACGATAAGTCACTGAAAATCTTCCGCTATCGGTTACTGAAACTGTGAGAGTTATTTTCTATCGTTTCTTTGTTAGAATCAATGTTGGTGGCGATGCTAGAGAGTTAAGTGAAGTTTTTTTTTCAGTAACAAACACGAAATCAGAGAGGTGAGGGTATCTCCGTACCAAGTGAAGATTGTTTTGACTATATCGGAGTTCTCTACTGAAGATACAGGCACCTACACCTGTGTGTCGAGTAATACTATAGGAAAGGCCGAAGGGACTTTGAGATTGTATGGTAAGTAATTTAGTACAATTAATTTAACACTCTACTAATGTTATTTAATTTGTAAGATGACAGCTACTTTGTACCTGTCTTAGATGGTAAAAAACAAATTTGAATACAGGTTAAAAGACACAACTCGATGGTGTTATGGTTGCAATGTATGATTAATAATCAACGGTCGTGGGTTCGATTTCTAACGAGACCAACATTTTTCTTATTAATTTATAATTTTTCTGAACACAAATTCGTCTGGAAATCTGAATATTGCATTTTGGTCCGGCTCACGAACCACCGTCAATAGGAAAAAAGCCTTTTACGAATTTAACAAACAAAAGCTACAGGCACTAGAATGAACAACAATCAATCATCATAACGAAGTATGTGCTGTCATTGTCTTTGACATGTACTACTTTCATCATTAAAGATGTGGTAAAATTATACGACCTATATAAATATTGGGTGTAATATCTGGATAAAATTATTCTCTACAACGAAAACATTATTTGGTCGGCCTACCTTATCCACATATTGAATTAATACTGATAACTTTTTATAATAATAAAAGTTCAGACTCACGCGGCTTACAAGCGACAGTTGTAACTACGAATATGGGTTATATATATATATTTATAGCTTTTGTATTTTAGTATATTTTTTTTTAGAAATAAAAATTACTACAACCACGACGACGACGACAACCACAACCACAACGACCACCACTACGACGACCACGACACCACCGCCCACTACCACCGAGTTAACGACACAACCACGTAAGTTTCTGAGACTTACTGTTTATAGTTAGTAAGAAGTTTTGATATTAAAATTAACCGTAAAACAGAATAGTATTTATTATTCCGGTTCATTTAAGTACATTTTGTAGGTGAATTATAAAATTTGTAAAATACAATAATACGCTGAGAGCTTTATTTTTGTTATTTTGAGATTTTTATTATTATAGAATAAAACAATAGAATATACTTTTAATTCAGTAAAAAATAATATATATAAAACAGAGTCAGATTTTGTTCACTTATCTTAACAAATGAGGAGTTAGCAAAGCAATGAAACTGCACTATACACGTTTCTAAGTATTATATTTACTCTAGAACTTGCTTTCATTTACCCCAAGTTTTAATGGTTCTAAGTGTGTTATAATAAGAGTACGATGTATGTATAGTAAAAATCGAATTTAGGACTTTTAACTCTGTACTTACAGGAATACTCTAGCTATTAAATGGTCTAATGGTAGCATTAACGTAAAGTTCTAATCAGGGTGACGACCCACGGTCACGATGAAAAGCTGTCAAGGTTTTATCGTTTCGATTTTAGATCTGTGGATTTTCGAATACCAAAGCCTGAATTGGACATCGTCTTGTTGAAATCTATATTAAATGGGCTGGGATAAATATCGCCCACCATCAAGTACTTCGGCTACAAGTACCCACGTCTATCAGTTGAGAAAGCTACGTGAGGTTTGATCTATTTTGGTTTTAGGCTATGGATTTCCTTAGAATATCCAAGGTCAGACATCTTTTTAGGTATTATATAAAATAATTATACCATAAAAAAAAAAAAAATCGTCGTAGCACTGCAGCCAGCTGAACAAAAATTTTTCACACCAGATGTAACAACATTCGGTGAGTGTCTAATTTAATGTATTTTTTCTTTTACTTTGTTTAGACATAATAAAATAAGGTGTTGTCTAATTTTCTAAAAACTTCTATATTTAATTTAATCTATGTCTAATTTAATTTATTCTTTTTTCTCTCTAGATACAATGCAGAACGTTATAGAGCAGTCCGTCCTCGACAACAACTGGCTACCAACTGTCGATTCTCGCGGAACGCGATCAATACAAACTTCCATCTTAATTCTTGGTCTACCCACATTTCTTTGCTTTTTACGTTTATTACGAATAACAGATTTTATATTAGGAAATCAATACGTTTTCCAATGTTCAAGATGATAAGCTAAGTAAGCTTTCAAAATCAATTTTTGTTTTGGGTTAAAAAAAAAAAAAAAAAAAAAAAAAAAAAAAAAAAAAAAAAAAAAAAAAAAAAAATTTTTAAAAAAATTTTTTTTTTTGGCCCCCCGAAAAAAAAAAAAAAAGGAAGCCCCCGGGGGGGGGGGGGGGGGGTTCCCCCCGGGCCCCCGCGGCCGCAAAAAACCCCAAAAAGGGGGGGGGGGGAAAAAAAAATTTTTTAAAAAATTTTAAAAAAAATTCGGCGTTTTAAACCGTTAAAAGGTTTTTTTTAAATGTGTACTACTCGCGTAAACTATAGACATGTTATATACTTAATGATTTGGTTTTAAATGTGTGATTTAAATATTATAAGTAATTTTATGCGGTCAACCTAGTAATTATATTAATATTGGTTGAACTACTCTGTAACATAATTAGGTTTTTTTAGGAATAGTGATCGCTGCCAAATATTTCGAGACTTAAAATAAGTATTGATTTGTGACCTTTGACCGTTATTATTATATGTATGAAAACATAAATTTAAATACACAAATTACTCAATAAGTAAAAACTGTACGAAAGTCGTAGTTAAACAAAACGAATTTTCCAATAAGGTTTTTTTAAGTATACCTAAAATAGCGTTTTATCGGTAGACTATAATGCAGTAATTGTACAAACGACATTTAATCTTTAAAAAGCATATCAATAACGTATAAACGAAATCAATTGTACATAACTATACAAAATTATACCGCATATAAGTCATTCACTTAGGTATACGTCTGTTTTAATATGTGAATTTGATTGTTTTATTTGGCTTATGCCAACCTTGGGTGACTTCTCTCATTTCAATAGTCGAACAAAACGATTTTTGAGTCTACCTATTTATTTTAATCCACGTATAATTAAAATATGTATTAATTTACCTAAAATTATAATTTTAACTTAATATAAGTCGTATTTAAATGCTTATAAAGGATTTTAATTATGAATAAGGTTAATCGAGTACTATGTATTACATAATTACGTAATCGCGTCACCACATTTTACCATAGATAATATAAATCAGGCCCATTATCCCATCAGAACATGAAAATTCATTGTGCCCATAAATACTAACGACACGCCAAACTGCATGTTTAACGAGATTGTCACCAATAACATAAATTCAGGTGAAATACAGATATCGTTGCTATTCATACATTTTCTGGCGCTTTTATATAACAATGATTTCTGATTATATGACAGCATCTAATGTTTAATTTTTAAACGTCAAAAAATCAATGGGAGCTTTCGTCGATTTATTTAAAACAAAACATTTGAAAGCGACATCGTAAAACTTTTTGGATTGAAATGAAATTACGACATGGGCAGGGCTTGAACTGGCATCCACATCGGGTCCGTGCTGCCGCCCAAACCAATTACGCTACACGTCATCGTATCATTGTCATTTGACAGAGTCGTTCTAGGAGACGATTAAATTGTATGTATAAACTACTGTGTTAACACATAAATGAGAGTAGCCATAATATAAAACTTTAGATGCTTCTTATTGACTTTAATTTTGCTCTAACAAATAGTTGAACTTACTTGCAATGTGATTATAAAAATTAGGATGGGGGGGGGGAAGGCGGTTTTGAGTGCATTTGCCTGCTCATTGATAGAGTCCTTTACTGCGCCGCAACAACTAATATCATTGAAAGTTCTTGTATTCCTTTTTTTTTTCAAATTAACCAAACATACAAGCGGCGACGTTTAAAATATTTTTAAACTTCTGTAAACTCTCTATCTATTGAGTATATTGTAGTTTATATCTTTATTCACCTGAGTTGAAAGCTTTCATTTTTCTTCATTACCGGAGCAGAAATAAGTCATAACTGTCATAAAAAGTATGAGGATGGGGGGATATATAAAATTTCATTACCACCGCGTTGACCGAACGTAATAGCAAGATAAAAATCCATACTCGCGTCTATTATATGTTCGAACTCTGAATCGATACATATAATCTAATAAATAGTAATATTGTTTCGTAGATTTTTTATATTATACTCATGTTGGTCTGGGGTTGCCTTTTAGAACATATCTGCTACTGATACATCTGATAATTATGATGATAAAAAGTACAGATTTAATTTAATAATTAAAAAAAAAACTTTTATTTAAACTACAGAAGACAATTCAGTTCATAAATCTTATGTACAATTCATGACCCTTTCGGCTGCCGTAACTGACTTCTCTTAGTCGTACTCGTGTTAAACGTCGAAACCAATTACGACGAATAGTTAAAAAAGCTAAGTAACACTTTAGTTAGTTTTGTTTATATAAGTTATATAACTAGAACGAATAATTGCGCAAAACTAAATATTATTACGTTGCATGTATCCAATGTGGATGTGCAGAACTTTAGATCATTTGTACTCTTGTAACTAGATTCATGGAATATTTCTCACCTCGGCTACACTCGGAGCTTGTAACTAGTTTATTTTAAGTAAATTCGCTTTATCAATCTCAACTTCTCTAGACATCACACTGAAGTGCTTCATCCACTATCCTAAAGTACTTTTATATATAAAAACGTGACGTTTATATATTTCAAATTGCTTGACAACAAAACAGCCTAAATTCATTTATATTAAGCGTTATTTAGTTTTAGAAGATGTTGTGTAAATATGCTGATATAATAAATACAGTAAGTCATTTTATTACGTTCTTTGTAGAGTTATGCGATAAGAACTAGGTTACTGAATAATATAAATAATACTAATAAAGTTGTTTAATAATAACAAGTGCTTTTCTTGCCGCTGTCTTCCTAAATTATCTTCTACATTATATATCACATATTATTGTTTTGTTGACTAGTGTTTGAAGTAATGGTATTAAAATAAAACTATTTATAACGGTGCGAATTACATTAGTTAATTTTTATAACTATGGCCTGACGTTTCTGTTGCTTTGCTGCAGCCGCGGACATCGCGGGACCATGGAGAAGCATCCTAAACGTCGGAAATTTAAAATAAGTGAACGAATATATGGGTATTTAAAACGGTAGGAGGATTTAAATAAAAAACTTTAACAGTTAAATAAAACGCGATAGCTTAGTTAAACTTATTTGAATTATTGCTCTACATCTGCCGTGGTCACGGGAGACTCTTACTGGGTAGTAGACAATACTTAAGTAAAATTATTTTTCATGAAAATAGATAAGCGTCGTTGGTTTAGCGGTCAACACACTGGACTGCAGATTCGGCTGAAAATCCCGGGATAGATTGTTTTTGAAAAATTTTCAGACCAGCCCAGAGTTTGGAAGAAAGAGTCACGTGTCATTATTGTTTATCGTCGTCATAAATTAAGGTTAAGTAGTGTATTACAGGTTTTTTTAGTATTTATTTTAATTATTGTTTTATCAATAAAATAAAGGATGTTCAACAATTGATTATATTTATCTATTAGATTAACAGTATATACTATTAAAAGGGCTATTTTTATGCATTCAATTATTTATTTATAAAAAAACTTATACGACCTTTATAGTAAAATGCTAAAGCGATAGAAATATTAAACAAAGACATTAATATGTTATGTTACCTGTTTAAAGAACGTAGACTATCGCAACTGTTATGGATTAAATTACTAAATAATATAACTTAAATAAGGGTATGACAGTAATATTTTAAAGCCAAATAAATAGAATGTGTGATTTTGATTCAAAAAAAGTCATATTTGAAGAGCTTTTATGAATTTCAAAAGTGCTCTGTGTTCAGATGTAAGGCGAAGCCATATATTGCATTTAAGGCGTGAGAGAGTGAGAGGTGATGTATGGTGAGATAAAGTGTTTAACCGAGACACAAAAGACTGATTACCTTGCCACTAAGCACATTGTTTGAGATCCATTCCCCGGCAAACCAGAATAATATTTTTAACTGCCATTGCATGTTCAAAATAGCTATGACGTGTATATTATACTAGTTGTGATAGCGACTTCGTCTGCGCAAAATACCTATTTGAGCGTCAAAATTTGTTTTTGCAAACCCATTCCTTATAAACTATAGCTGTTACCCGCAATGTCGTTCGTATCCCGTCGTTCTTTCAAGGTAATCTTGAGTTCAAGATAGACATATACGAGACGCGGACATTTTCTAGGAATTTTCATATTAGGCAGGATCGTTTAAAGAGGAATCATTTGTTAGTTCATATTTTGTGGGTATCTTGAACCGAAATCTACAACGATAAATAATTTTTCGCGTTTGTTTCACATTTTCCAATTTCTTTACTCTTATGAGTCGCAACGTGGTGATTTAACTTTCCTCAATAATTTTTTTCTCTAATGAAAAAATAATTTTTCGGTTCGAACTAATACTTCCTCAGATTAGCGTATTCGAACAAACATACAAATAAACTCACCTCTATTATATTACTTTATGTAATACGTCTGCACAAAAACAGTTGTAAATATTAAACACGCATTATTGTAGATCTCCAAAAGGAAACATCATTAAAATAAACAACATATCGGCATTGTAATATTAATAGCCAAAACACAAAACATCAGTTCGCAATCCGAATCATGTTATTATACTAACGAGGCAGAAATAAACAGTAAAAACAAATCCCATTAACGAATGTTTTTGTTGTGCACGCTGTATTTTGTGATTTTATCAATTTAATTTCGATATTAACCGCTCGAAAATACTTTTACATTTTATATAATGAACGTTTCCATTGTATTAAAATGAGAAAACGAAATATAAAAGAATACAGGGTGTTTCATTCTGGCATACTACCGTTAAGCTATGTAAATTTATTAAAAAAAAAAAAACAAGTATTATCAACTATAATGAGTCTGTATTTACCGTTTATTTTACCAGAGCATTTAGGCGTAAAGATTTTATTATAGGATTTATTTTTTAAATTCAGATAATTATAAATGCTTAGGTATAGACAGCTATTTAGTGCTGTCGTGTCTCCACAAATTGCTTTTTAAAATATTTTAAATTTTTGCG